AGCCCTACTGCACGCTACCTCAGCAGGGGGTTCTCAATGATGCGCAGCTTGCGTTTGAAGGTCTCCAGCTGGTCACAGAGCTTCAGGCCCTCTACCATGGACACGTTGTCGAGCTCCGAGTCCGAGTCGGCACTGAGGCCACTGCGCAACGCGGAGAACTGCTGGAAGCACTGGGAACACTTCTCCAGTAAGGACTGGTACTCTGCCACCAGGCCTGCTGGGACTCTGTCCTCCAACATGTCGTAGTAGCTACAATAAGACACGTTTTAGTCAGGGCACAAACCAACACTTGTTAATATAGGATCATCCCAGAGTGCTCACAGGCGTATCCGGGGTTCCACACAGCGGACAAAGTAGTCAAAGTCATCATCCTCCTCTTCCTCATCCCACTCCCTCCAGATGTGTTTATAGAAAAACCTGCAGATGAAAGGAAACGACGTCACACATACGTCAGGGCAAAACAACAACGTGTAATCTCCCTGAGGCCTCCAAGTCCTACCTTACATGCTCGAGGGCAAGGGCAGTCTGATCCATGTCCCCAGACTCCTCGTGGACCACCTGCAGCTGCTGCAGGGGCACTTTGTGCTGAGTGGCCTCCAGAAGAGACGTCGTGGCCTCTTCGTCGAGCTCACAGCCTCTGGTATCACACTGCAGAGGCAGCACCAGCCTCACACGGGCCTTCAGGTCCTTCACCTCCACATCGCGCACCTGAAACCACCAACAGCCACAACCCGAGGATTACAAACCAACGTCCTCCAAGCTCTACATCAGCACGCACATCTGTTTGTTGCCTTTGATTGTGTGCACATCCTGTAAAGGCAGCAGACACTGTGCAGCCCCTCAGGCGCTAGTTTGTTTGGTCCTTTTCCAGTGAGCTACAGTCACTGATGCCATCAACAGCGTTACAGTGCAGTATAGTTGTGACAAATAACACTATAGCACTGTGGGTGGTGTTTCCATGGAAACTATACTAAAACAAACTATAAAGAAACCACTGAGCACTTTCAGAAAAACTAAAGAAATTTTAAAAAGGTAGAGAAAGTAATGTTTTAGTAAAAAGAAGATTGCACTCATAAATATACATTGATTAGTGTGCAATAACATTTTCTAACAATTGATGTGTTCTTAGAAACGTTTATGCATTAAGAGTTCATAGGAGCAGGGATGGTGCTATGTTGGCCGCCACCTCGAATACAGCGGTCAGGTTGGACGACTGTATGTCACTGGAGTACTACGCCATGTGCATCATTTTTAATTTAAAGATCACAAATGCCAAACTCTCAACCTCCATGACTTCACCACTGGCCTCTGTCTTCTGCCCCTCATCCTCCTCCTCCTCACCTCATGCCTCGTCTCCTGAACTGAAGTCAGGGCTCCAACACAGAAAACATGCATAAACATGTCTGTGAAGGTTCTCAGTCATCCAGGTC